CTATTTGCCAAACGCAATCGATCGTGGAACTGCTTTTCAGTTCAGTGAAAATCAAACAGCTACGCCGGTTTGGAAGGTTTTATCTTTTACGTGTCTCAACGTCGAAAAGAAGCCCTAAACGAATGCAGCTGTCTCTAATTGTTGGAATTGCCCTCGGCTCCTGATTGATTTCAGATTTGCCGATTTCCGGATGATCCGGCTTTCCGCATTTCCGGTTTTCCCTATTTCTGGGTTTTAACGTTTCCGGTTTACGTGTCAACCTGCATTTGACCTTGCAGAGCCGGTTGAATGGAAAGTTTATTCGAGGTTGTAGCTCTGAAATCTCAATTTTCTGATCCAAAATGAGACCTGCCTAGTTGATTTTCTGATTCTCGAGCAAACTTTCACCTCTGAATGGTTGTTTTACCGAGCTATTTAGCTCGAAACGTGACACAGTTTCACCTGTTTTGAGCTTCGGATTGTTAGCATGGGATTCAAAAATGGCCGCATACCAGCAGTTTCTAAAGCACATTTGCTGGAATTTTATGGAGTCCGGCATCTCAGGGATTGGAATATCGTTCAATTTGCGAGTCAGTGCCAGTAATGAATTAGGTAAGCCGTACTTTTGACAAAATCTGCTTGAGGTAGATGCGTTACGCTAAATCTGAAAATATCGTATTAGCTCGCATACGCGTTGATACAAACGGTCATAACTTTTAAAATACTGAAATCGTACATGGGCTTTTGTATATTATTAATAACAGATGGTCTATCTTTGCGTCTATTTAGTTTAGAGCTTTCAACTATGTCCCAAAAGTCAGAAATAAGCTTTTAAAACAGGGTAATTTTTGGCCTTTCGCTCCAAGGCAATTAGTTGAGGTCATATTTTGCTTGATTTCGTCTTTCCAGCTAAATTTAGCGGATAACTATTACTTTTAGGAAAAACTAGAGATGTTTACCTATAAACAGGTATAAAATTCATTGGTAGATGGTGCAAATCAAACATTTTACAGCGCCGCAAAATATGCCAAATTTTCAGTTTTCAAGACGTGCAAAATGGCCGTGGCGGGACAAAATACTCGGGGCCCCCCAGCGCGGCCAGAAAATTATTGTGAATCAAAGCAAACCTATTTTAGTTATAGTCTCGATAAAGCCTTTCACTCGCCAGAGTTTCAGGCAAAATTATTTTTCACGCGAAATTGAGTG